TTGGCACTTTTTCTCGCCACTAATGCAACTAGAAACTTCCCCGCCTATTCTGGCTTGAGTCTCTGTCATTTAAGTGATTTTACACGCTCGTCTAATCTCACTGACTTCGTCCCACGCTCGTCTGTTATGAAGATGGTTGGCAGCATTTTAGCCCATCAGAACTGGCTGTTTTTTGAAAAGCTCGTGGTGCTTGTCACAAGAAGTTGACAGAAAGTATCAATCGCTCTCCAGTGCTGCAGCATTAAGCGTACTTGTGGCTAGTGAGCACTGAGCTAGTATAGTCGCTGAAAATGATTTAGCAGTTGAAGGATTGCTAGACTGAACTGCTGAATTGCTAGAATTAGAAGGACTGAGGGATTGGAATTTTCAGTCAAAACCCTCTTTGCTCTCTGGATTTCCACACATTTTTTTTGCAGTTCGTTAATGAATATTGCGCGACTCACGCAAAGGACATGCAGAGCACGATGCTAGCCATTTGGAAGTCCGTCCCGACAGCGGCCAAAATACTTCTGCCGTACTGTAGCCGTTATAAAGGTTAGATCATCAAAAACCCGCCGTTCTCGAGTATCCAACGCTCATGTAGCGATAACATCTGTTTTATTCCCTTCGAAATCTCGAATTATCCATCATATTTTGTCATGCGAAACACGCTAAATGAGGTCAAAACGGGGAAGTAAACGAAAATATTTTGTGACCGGAACACACTTCAAAAGCCAAGAAATTCTCGGATGAACTGTGAAGAAAGAATGAACGGAGCATTCAGTTTCTTTGTAATAGTAGATCAGAAGGACTGTACTCTGTCGTCATGTGTAAGGTGATATTTTACGGTGCAGTCTGCATTTCATCGTTTAGCTGTAAACACAGACCGGGCTATGCATGCGAGTAGGAGTGGGAATCGTCAGTGCAGCCCCCTACCCGCCATGTATTGAAAGGACATGTAACTAATTTGCAAGACGGATGTGTGAAAGAAAAAGAGAGAGAGAGAAAAAGCACAGAAGTGTGAAAGTAATAAGAGTGATGGAGCAGATGGAAGGGGAGGAAACTAACAAATGATAAGGGTAGTAATTCTATGTAGTTATGAGTAAACTGAATGACGGTATACGACGGTAGCTTCACATTGTTATCTTCCAAGGCTGGTTGACCATAGTCCCACACCGACCGCGCGTTTGTGATTTTGTATGGACTTAAAATCAGAAGCGGCAAGAGGGCCTCAATTTTATCAATGGTTAAGCTTCAGGTTTGGGAAATCTCTTCTATATCCTGATAAAGTGGGCCAGTTTCCATGGTTTGCTGAATGAACGACTGAATGCGACGCATATTTGCTTGCTGTTTGTGCAGTTCGGTCTTGGACATCTTAAAAATGACGAATGCGCAATGCCGGACAACTTTCTGGAACAGGTACGCGCATTTTCGGAAAAATTTTTGTTTTTCGTAACATTGGCTAACAAGCATTTTTGTATTCCTTTAACTGTCATCCGTCTCGTGCCCCACCTCAATAAGTTCGTAAAAGTATTCGTAAAAGTCCGTAAATCCGTAAAATCCGTAAAAGTATATGGGACGATAGCGTATCGCGAGGAGCAAACAAACCACGGCTGTTTTGATGAGGCCTGTCGTAGAGCGAATTGAGGGTGGCCTGGACTCCCTGCCCTGTGCTGTCACGTAACTGTTCACCATGGAATTTAAGTTCCTTGAGGGTTCAGGAGTTAATAAATAATCGCTGAACGCGTTGTTATTTTAGACGAACGAAATAAGCCCGGCGAACCCCACAGAAGTTCATGATTTAAATAGCCAGCTGGGTGGAATTGGTTCATGTCTGCTCAGATTCTTCAAATGTCTCAGTTCTCGCACTTTTCAAATGCGCGATTCGCTGGACTTCCGCAATGTCGGATATTGTTCTTTATTAGCCAAGGGACAGTGGATGGAGCTGCAGAAGGTACGAAATTTTAACACCCTAATTCTGTATTTTCTAATGACAGTAATCTGTGCTTCCTAATAATCTTTGTGCCGAGTTTTAGTGTTATTTGCAGTATTCCTTTGTAATAAAAAGCAGCCCCTCATTAACATAGGCGGACCCAGGTTGGCGTCCGAAGATGGACAGAGACACTAAACCCGCTCTCTCCGATGGACACTAAAGTGAGACTGGCAAGGCTGCTGGGAGGTAGGGAGGGGAGGGGGAACTAGAAGGCGAAGGGGGTACCGAACAGACTGCCGTACAGTAAAACAACCGCTACCTAAGTTCCTGAGGGGGGCGAAAGGCCCCTCTCCGCTAGATCCGCCAATGCTCATTAAGTTCGAAACTGTATTTAGCAGCAAGTTTTTCCACATCACGGTGAAGTGCTGAGGTTGGGTAGATTTGTAGGAGGACAAGAAAGAAAGGAGTAAAAAAATAAAAAGATTTTATGAAGAGGAAAAATATGCTAAA